TGAAGCCTATCCTGGCACTCACTCTGTAGACCAGGCTGGCCTCGAACTCACAGAGATCTGCCTGCCTCTGCCTCCCAAGTGCTGGGATTTAAGGCCTGTGCCACCAACGCCCAGCACAGTTTGCTTATTTTTTTATTTAGTGTGGTGCTCCTACAGCAAGCATGTGTAGAAGTCAGAGGACAACTTGTAGGAATTAGCTCTTTTCTTCCACCAGGTGGATTCCTGGGCTCGAACTCAGATCATCAGGCTTAGCCGCAAGCTCCCTTTCCCACTGAGCCATTCCAACAGCCCAACAGATGGATTTAACTTAGATGTGACAACAAATACCCACACATTTACCCAAAGTCTGGCATAGTAAGCGCGGAGAACACGTGTAATGTGTTTACCGGTGTTATTATTCCTAATTCATGTCCATTTAACACAAAGAACTCTCTCCTGGGCCTCCAAGCCACTTCCTCCTTCTGGGAGCCCACCCAGCTTGCATTGCCTCCTTTTCCTGCAGCCCTCCATCTGGACAGACAGGAGGATTCCCCAGACTGATGTAGGGCTGTGGAGTTCCCTAGCTCCAGGGTGCCAGGGCACTGTGCCAAGTGTCCAGACTTCCAAGCTGGCATGGGGCCCCACTCCCAGGGAGAGCAGATGGCGTCTGGGAGTGCATTTGGCTCGGCATGAGTTTCTGGCAGGGAGACCCACGGGTGGGGTAATGCCAGGGGCAGGGGGCAGGATGGTTTTTGCCAGGAGGGATTTACTAGCTCCTTTCTCTTGCTCTAGTTGTCATTTGCAGCATGTAAGAACTGCCAGTGTGTTCTGTGTGTGTGTTGCTCCTGACTGCTCCCACTAGCATCGTCTCCCATGGGGGGCTGGGTTTGTTCTCTTTTGTTCATGGTGGTGCCTCGGGCATGAAACAGTGCTTGTCATGAAGTAGGCCTTACTTTGAGGCTCATGGGATGAGGGTATGAATTCCTACCAGCCTGTTTTCCATCAGATCACTGAACTCAGGGACACCCCGTCCTCCTCTTGCCATTTCAGAGATGAGCTCCTGTCAAGTTGAAACCATAACCACCATCATCAGCCTTGTAGAGTCTCCCTAGCCCACTCTTCAAGAAGACCAGGAAAGGCCCAGGGTCTTATTTATTATTATTGTGACAGGCCTAGAATGTGGATTGTGTGTGTGTGTCTGTCTGTCTGTCTCTGTCTCTCTCTTTGTCTGTGTGTATGTCTGTCTCTCTGTGTGTGTGTCTGTTTCTCTCTCTCTGTGTGTGTGTCTGTCTGTCTCTGTCTCTCTCTCTGTCTCTGTGTGTGTCTGTCTGTCTGTCTCTCTGTGTGTGCGTGTGTCTGTCTCTCTCTCTTTCTGTGTATGTGTGTCTGTCTGTCTCTCTGTCTCTCTCTGTGTGTCTCTGTGTGTGTGTGTGTCTATCTGTCTCTCTGTGTGTGTCTGTCTCTCTCTCTCTGTGTCTCTCTCTGTGTGTGTATCTGTCTGTCTCTCTGTCTCTGTCTCTCTCTCTGTGTGTGTGTGTGTGTGTCTGTGTCTCTCTCTTTCTCTGTGTGTGTGTGTGTGTATCTGTCTGTCTCTCTGTCTCTGTCTCTGTGTGTGTGTGTCTGTCTGTCTGTCTGTCTCTGTCTCTGTGTGTGTGTGTCTGTCTGTCTGTCTGTCTGTGTCTCTCTCTGTGTGTGTCTGTCTCTCTCTCTCTTTGTGTGTGTGTGTCTGTCTGTCTCTCTGTCTCTGTCTGTGTGTGTGTGTGTGTGTGTGTGTGTCTGTGTCTCTCTCTTTCTCTCTGTGTGTGTGTGTGTGTGTGTGTCTGTCTGTCTCTCTCTCTATCTGTCTCTCTCTCTCTATGCATATGTGTCTGAGTGTAAGTTACAGAGGCCAGAAGAGGGTGCTGTGACAGCTTTCCTGGATCTGAAGTCACAGGCAGTTGTAAGCTGCTGGACATGGGTGCTGGAAACTGAACTCAGGTCCTCTGGAAGAGCAGCAAACACTCTTAACAACGGAGTCCCCTCTCTAGCCTACTTCCTGGTTCCCGTGAGTCTCTGCACTGCATGGAACATTTCCATTCTGAGGAAACAGTTATACAACCTATCTGCAACCTCCATCACCAACACACCGCATTTTCTTTTCCTATCAGGTATATTCAGTTTATGAAATTCATCAAGATGTTGGTTTATTCCCTGTGTGCTTTTCTGTACACCATGCTTAGAAAATGTTATTTTTGGAAAGGGTGATTTAAATCTGTTTCCAAGATGAGTCACGGAGTGGGGGAAAAAAAAAAGAAGCAAGGTGTGAAGCCATGTTACAGCTGCCTTGGAAAACAATATGGCTTTTCCTCTCTAATGTTAAAACAGAATTACCACATGGTTCTGAAATCCCACTTCCAGTGAAATACCCAGAAGAACGGAAAGAAGGGTTTTAAAGAGGCTGCATGTTCACAGCAGTAGCCAAAAGGCTGGGGCAACAGAAATGTTACCTGCCGGAGTGAAATGTGGTGTTTAGTAACAGCGAATGCACTGTGGCATTCCAAAGGAGGGGGAATTCTGACACATGCTCACAATACGGAGAAACCTGTGTGACAGTATCACGGAATGAATGAAATAAGTCAGTACAAGCAATACTGCAGGGGCTGGAGAGATGGCTCAGAGGTTAAGAGCACTGACTGCTCTTCCAAAGGTCCTGAGTTCAATTCCCAGCAACCACATGGTGGCTCACAACCATCCGTTATGAGATCTGGTGCCCTCTGCTGGTGTGCAGATAGACATGGAAGCAGAATGGTGTATACATAATAAATAAATCTTTAAAAAAAAAAAAAAAAGAAATACTGCCTTGCTAAGGGCACCTACAGACAGCTCTTACATAGGACTCAAGTTCAGTTCTCAGCAACCATTACTGCCTGTAACTCCATCTCCAGGAGACCAGATAGATACCCTCTTCCAACCTTGGCAGGCACGACATGCATCTGGTGCACAGATGAACATGCAAAACATCCATACCAAAAATAAATACATAAATAAATAAATAAGCAAGAGCCAGGTGGTGGTGACACACACCTTTAATCCTGACACTAGGAGGCAGAGGCAGGCAGATCTCTGTGAGTTTGAAGCCAGCATGGTCTACAAAGTGAATTTCCCTGGAACTCACTCAATAGCCCAGGCTGGCTTTGAGCTTGAAGCAATCCTCCTGCCTCAGGCTCTCAAGTGCCACCATACTCATCATAATTTTTTTTTAAATTTTAAACTTTGTCTCTAGTGAAAAAATTTAAGAAAAAAAAATGGATGAGCTTTTTTTTTGCAAAGGGACTGCTTCCTTTCTTTTTGTGGGGAGGGGTTCAAGACAGGGTTTATGACTTTGGAGCCTGTCCTGGCTGGCCTTGAACTCACAGAGATCTGCCTGCCTCTGCCTCCCGAGTGCTGGGACTAAAGGCATGCGCCACCACTGCCTGGCCCTTTCTTTTTATAGGATTTATTTTTATTATTCGTGTGTACCACACCGGGAAGCCAGAAGGCCACCGTTTCCCTGGAGCAGGAGTTACAGAATGCTGGGAACTGAACTCCTGTACTCTGGAAGAGCAGGAAGCACTCTGGCGAGCCACCTCTTCCCCATTTATCCTGACCCCGTCCTCTTTCAAAATCAGCTGTTAAGAATGAACTTTGCAGTAGCTCTAAGAAGTCGAACTTAGTTCTTGAGAATAGTGTGGGGGCTCTGAAAACGGAAGAGAACTCGTACTTCCTAATTTCTCTAGTGCCAGAATATGGAGAACCTTTTTTTTTTTTCTCTCCCCTCCAGCTATAACACAGAGAGAGGCCCAGGATGGGAGTTCCTTGAGGTGGCCCTGAGGTGTCAGCGGGCTCCATTCTGACTGGTGGTACTGACCAGGAAAGGTGTTTGGTTGTTATTTGAGACAGGGACTCTCTGTGTAACAGTCTTGGCTGTCCTGAAACTCTCTTTGTAAACCAGGCTGGCCTGAATTTCAGAGATCCACCTGCCTATGCCTCCCGAGTGCTGAGCTCAAAGACCTTTGCCCCCACTGCTGTTTTTTGTTTTTTTTTTTAAAGATTTTATTTATTATGTAAACAACATTCTGCTTCCATGT